TCTTTTGCCTTGTGCATGGCTGTGTCGGTCACGGTCATGAGCAGATACACCACAGCCCGCCTGGAATGCTCAGAGAGGCAAAGGGTACAGAAGAGCCCACAGCACCCTCAGTATGGCTTCCCAGAACCTGAGACGTCACAGCGTGTTTGGGAAACAGGAGCTGCTCCCAGTCCTGCAGGGCACGTCTTCCTGAAGGTCCCAGGCAAGGTGTCCATGTGCTAGCCAGTGGCCTGTGGTGGCCAGATCTGCACATGCAGATAAGCCAGGCATTGTACCCTAAATGAACATCTCCGAGGTGGACTTCAGAAGACTAAGGTCCAGGTAACCCTGCATTTCCCATCCAATGCTTCACTGAACACCTTTGGCTCCAGCCTCTCGTTCATGTTAAAATTCCAGTGTCTTTAAGCGAAACAATTCTTACAGAAGAGATCAACCATTGACACTCTAGTATAAAGGAGCTTTCAGCTTTGCTGACAGTGAGTTTTGTAAAGGTACCAAGGAAAGAGAGAACACACAACCACTAGGAGGAAGAGAAGACCAAGACTGAGAATGGCAAGTCTTTACAATGCATGCAAAATATGTAGCCCACACAGATTTATTGACAGAAAAGCCCAGAATGTTGTTTTTTATTTCCCCCTTCATTGGCAGAGAAAATAAAACATGTGGCTATCACAGACTGTCTTTTTTTGTTCTCCTCGAGAAGGTAGAAATTTAAAAATAAGTTTATGATCGTTCAAAAAAAATGTGTTTTTCTTTTGAAACTTGATACTATCTAACTTTAGACTAGCTGCCTATTTTCTACTAAAATCGGTTGGGAAAGATAGCCCAATGATGGAAAGAACTGAAAACACGGTCAAAAGGAGTGGTATCTTATCTCCGTTAAGTGGAACAAATGTTTGAATTGTCCTGCTTAAATTAAATAGCCAGGAACTTTTGCTTCTAAAAATAAACATTGCCAAGTATGCAAGTCTCATCTGAGGCACCAGTGTCCGGTGGCTTTCCTAATGTGTCAGTCACAATCTTCTATCAATTTATCTTGTATTTTAAGCCAACATGTGATCGAAGCCACAGGTTGTCAGACACATAATTTGAGTGGGGGAGTAGGGAAGATGGAACACTGAATTCTAATAGCTCAGATTGCTTTGTTTAATCGTACTTATGTAAGTTTAGTAAATTTTCATTCCGATAACAGTCATACTGTTACGCAAAGGAAAAAATCCAACTTCTTTTTAATTATTTTTTAGACATTGATGGACTTTTATTTTATTCATATTTATATGTGGTACTGAGAATTGAACCCAGTGCCTCACACATGCTAGGCAAGTTCTCTACCACTGAGTCACAACCCCAGCCCCCCTCCAACTTAACTTCTTCATGTTTGGAATTCGTGTTGAGCACCTGCCTAACAAATGCTGGTCCTGTGGAATTTTGTGCTTTGTTGCCACCAAGCCCATTTTAAAGAGAGAAGGTGGATTTTTTTTTTTTTTTGAGTGTGACCAAATCAAAGAATGATTTGGTCAGTGTGTTGGGGTTCCTGGAGCTGTTTGCTTACCTAGAACGGAAGAGTTGGTACCCAATAGCCTCCACCCTTTGTGGTGTGAAAGTCCTTTTAAATGCTATCACTGTGAGTAGCTGTGTCTGTAGATCCTGTGTGACTGTCCTAATATTGAGTCAGATCGGATCCTGGGAGGAAATCCTCTGTGAACATTACCAAAGAGACACTTAATTCTCTCTTGGGTGGGGGATGTATCTTGGGATACAGCTGAAGATGCCAAGGAAGAGATGAAAATTTTCTAGAGACACTTGAGAGAAGCCAGCATCACTGGTTAGAGAAAGGAGCCAGTGGTCAGTTTAGACTTCAGGGCAAGGCAGGGCAGAAGGCGATCGCTCACTAAGGCTCGAGTCAAAATTGATTCTCTGCTGTGTCCTCTGAGCTTCTCAAGGCACCGCGCTTCCTTTTAATAATTTTGTTTTGTGGTGGTGCTGGGGATTGAACCCAGGGCCTAGCATGTGCTAGGCAAGTGCTCTACCCCTGAGTTACAGCCCCAGCCCTTTTCATTTTCTTTGGAGAGTGGGGGTCTCATTAAATACCCAGGCTGGCCTTGAACTTACGATCCTTCTGCTGCAGCCTTGCAAGTCTCTGGTATGACAAGTGGGTGCCTCTGCATCCTGCCCTTTTTAATGTTTAAAATGTTTTCAGTAGTTAAGTATGACACAAAGACAAAATGCGCACTCTCCCGTGTACCCAGCCTGCAGATCAAGATGCAGAACCAAGGTGTCTCATTTTCTCTATTGTTGCTCTAAGATGGCTGAATTTTAATTCTTCAGTGTGTTGAAATGATCTCTTTATTTCTGTTCCCTCTTCTAGTTTATAAATTTCTCTATGGAAGAACTGTTCTTTGTAGGCATCCCAGTATCTGCAATAATGGTTGGCAAATTTTTAGATGGGTCTATAAATTTATAGACACATCAAACGTGTGTGTACATGGACATGTGTATTCGTGTGTAGGCATGTTACATATATGTGTGCATGCATGTCCACTCTATTAAATAGCCTTTTTAAAGCATTTTGTAGGAAGTGATAGAGCTGATGATTAGAGCATGAACTCCGAAGCCTGTGAATCCTGGACCCTCACCTTGACCTTGCGCAAATCACTTCATCTCTCTCTGCCTCGGTTTTCTCATCTGGAAAATGAGAGCAGTCGTCCTGCCTATTCTAAAGATCATGAGGACTCCGTGCACTAGTAAGTGTGCAGAGCAGTGTCTGGCACTCAGTAAGCACCACAGAGATCTGGCAGGTCACGGCACTGTGCTTGGGCATCCAAGAAAGAACAGGAATCTGAGCCCTTGCCAATGAGTTGGGGAAGCCATAGTGAAAATCTCAGTGACCATGTCCCAGAGAGACAGGGATCCGTGGGTGCAAACCCACCAACCAGTTTTAGCCTGGAAGCCATCAACTCTCGGTTAACCAGTCAGTGAATTGTATCAGGTCTCTCCAGTGTCCCAGGCACCTCGCCATCTCTCCTGGATGAAAGAAGTTATCATTTCTTTTCTAGTGTTAACAAATGTCTGTTGGGGGTCAATCGTTGAAGAATTGGTCCATGACTTTCGGTCCACTTATTTCAAC